GCTGTTTGTTAGTGTTACTGTTCTGTGTTAATGCTATTTCTGGAGGCAGTGAGAACTTTTTTGTGTAGGTAGATATCTGTCATATGTTTCTCTGATCCCTTTGACTGTTTCCTTAATCATTTTTTTTTTCATATTTTATTCTTTGACATGCCTGGTATTGGCACGACGGTTCTTTGACGCTTTATCGATAGCTTCCTTTATATATCGTATTCAAGAATGATGGATTACATATTCTTTCGAGCAAATACATTTGGGAAATGTATAAATATATCTCTTCTTCCTCATATGCGGGTTAAGTAGTCGAACAGATTTTGTAATTCAATGCCGGTTAGCAACCTCTCATTAAATGTCAATCAACCATTATTTTGAATAAAGATTAAATATATATTTCGTAGGTATAAGATTTTTAGCAGATATCTTCGTTTTCTTGTTAACCATTGAAAGTAATATCTACGAGCCAACTGATCAAAATTATTCATAAAGAAAATTCGTCTCCGAGCAGGAATCTGGGAAAGATCTTTCTCCTCTCTCTTTGTATCTCTCTCTCTCTCTCTCATATATATATATATATATATATATATATATATATATATATAACCATTACTGTCATTTTAATGCGTTTGAAAAGGAGTCGTATCATCTTACTATTAGCGCCGCTTGAAAATGTAATTTTCGTTTCACACGTGATTTTAACACAGATTTTCATTGAAATATATGTATATTCTCCAATGTGATCTTTAAATACATGTTTTTGTATGATTCGTGTGCCTATTCGGAATTCTGAAAGATTTTAATGTTAGAAGTGAACATCAAGAAAATGTGAGTCATTTTCTTTATTTGATTTTTCTTTATCCAGCAATGAAAAAAACGCTATACAATCAATATTAAAAATATGTGGTCTTTATAGAAATGGTGCTGAAACTGTCTTGTTAGTTTGAGAATTGGAAATTTTGATCTGCATTTCGAAGAACGTTCAGAGAGTTATGTACACTTTGATGTGACCAGATTGAAACGCTGATTAAAAGTAATCCATGTCACCCGACACAGAACATCACAGAGATATTTTGCATAATTCACGTGAGCGCTGTGAGGCCTTTGAAAAAAAAAAAAAAACATCGATAGGGAAATCTCTGCGAAAATTGTGTACCCTCATGGTTTTCTGAATAAAATAGAATTAAATGGACCGTATCTCCATTTGATCTTATTTGCTAAAACGTAACAAAACCGACTCATCTTTTTTCAAAGAAGGTTCACAATTAATGGAAAATTAATTGAAACAAACATTAGGAGCCAAAAAAAAATAAGGCCATCTGCATCCGAAAATCTTTTCCATAGTAATACAAGTCTAGCAGTGTGTATGATTCAGACAGAAAGACCCCTTATAGGGAGGTTTTCTGGGGCTTGAAACCACCTAAAATTGTTGTTGTTCCCAGGTCTACCCTGAACCGGATTGATAGCACCTGTTACGGTCCCAGCTCTGGGCAAATCGATAACCCACAAACTGGGTCCAAAACACTATTATCAAAGTAAAAATAGATTTTTTATAGTAAAAATACCAGCAATAAATTTTGGAAAAAATAAATACAACCATCAATACCTTTTTGCAAAAAATGAAAAAAAAAAGAGAAAAGAAAATTACCAGCAATACATTTTTGAGGAAATAAAATATTACCAGCGATACGTTTGACTGTCAACAAAACCCCTTTTTACAAAATACGTCAATGAAACCTGATCTACAAACTGGTTTCTTACAAAGAATACATATTTCATTCATACGAACATACCCTAAAAAATCTTGTCGACATTAAATACCCCACTGAAGTTGATATGCCGCCGAATAGAATAAACCAAAGCAAACAAAACAAAGCCCAAGAGACACTCACGATAGAGGGTCAGTGTTGTGTTGTATGAGCGTAAGACAGGCCAAGAAGTGAAGTTCTTGACCCTATACAGAAAAGATAGGTGTTAACCCAAGACTTAAATAAGACAAGATTGTAGGGACTGAAAAAACGTCCCCCCTCCGGGAAGCGAGTTCCCCATAGTAGCATTTTTTGGAAAGAAACTGCCTGAACGGAACATACATATTACTATAGGAATACAACATGAATGGGGATGATTCATTCTTGGCACGGCGGTTCCAGTTTTAGAGGTCAAGTGTGCTTGAGTAAGGGTAGTACTTATGGGAATGGTGATAGAGTAACTAGAGGCTCACAAAGCGGTTATAGGTTTCAAATAATTATTAACCCAAAACGCCGCGTAGACGCTTTTGAACTAAATCATGGCAGACAATTTAGGTTTGCGCAGGTCCAGCCCAAATATGGCAGAAAAAAAAACAAAAACATTTTTGGTCTGTTCTGGTCTTTGCAAAGTTATGTTATAGCAGAAAGTGTCAGATGACATTTACTGGAACGGAACAAGGAAGTAACCATTTTCCCATCATCTTCATAGCAATAGATCGGATACATGTGTTCCACTTGAAGTCCGGGGTGAGTGTGAGCCCCAATCGACATTCAAGACCAAGGGCCGCTTTTAGAGGAGGTCCATCCATCATGATAGGTAACAGTACGGGGTCGGCACAGTTACGATTGAACGTTACTCGTTTTTGTTTTGGGCCATATTGAATTTTACAACTCAGTCATTTTCCCATTGAGTCACGTGAGCTAGATCAGAAGAGAGATAAGCTGCTAGGTTCGGGTTTTTCTGATTTTTAGAGGTACCCCTATAATCTATTGTGTCACCCGCATAGATACTCAGTAATGATCGGCGTATTCACTTAGACTGATCATTAATATCCAGTAGAAAGTAAGAAGGACCAAGAAGAGAACCCCGAGGAAAACTGGCATTGATCTTAAAGGCTTCCGATGACTGAACATTATCAACAAACTTCAGAGGCCTACCTGTTAGGAAGGACTTAATAATTAAGTGATGATAATGTATATTTGCCCGAAGTGGAATGCCAGCTTGTATTAAAAGCACTAAACTGCCAAATCAAACTATAGGTTTAGAAAAATATTTTATCCAATTGGAGCGATGAAAGTCAGCAATGGATTCGTAGTATCCAAAACTGGCCAATCGCAAGAGTGTTCGCTTCCATCAGGACAACGCTAGACTTCACGTCGATTTGAAAAGTTGGATATAAATCAGCACCGCTTTTCTGTGATGTCCTACTCCACCCACTCAATTCACCTAACATGGCACATTCGGCTCACCTCTTATTCTGATCGCTACAATATTCTATTCATTTGAAAAAAGAAATCTCTAAAAAATTAGAACCGTTTATTATCTAAAAAGTTGACAATTTCTATGGAGATAGAACCATGAAACTATGATATTGATGACAAATTGTAGTGGAACATAATGGCGTATATATGGGTGAAGAAATCGATATAGAGGGTACGGTTGAAATCTCTCCCAGGTTTTAAACTCTCGCCAAAATGTTGCTAATGAACAATGGCGTCATCATCAAATTAACTTTTTTATCATTTATTTCAGATACCATCAGATACCATGATGGTTTGGCTCCGTGTGCATCATGCGTTTGCTGTTGAAACCCATTTTTTAATACTGGTGACAAATCATGGTTAACAACTCACATAATGCGAACCTGTCTGGTTTGGTCGAGTGGAT